AAAAAGAAAGGGCCTTTGGTTTGGATGAATCTGGCTTAACCCCTCGTCTCAGCAGCTGGGTAATTAACTCTGTGACTTTGGGAAGACGCCAGCCCTCTGACGCACTGCTTCCTCAACAAAATGAAGGTACCCAGCCTGAACGCCTCTTCCTGTTGTAAAGGCTGAAAGTAAAACTCTTACAGCACCAACACTCTGTGTACTGGTTACTCCTCTATCCTATGCTGAGTCCAGTGGCTTTTTCTTCCTTTTTTAAAATTAATTTTTTTAAAATTAGCAAACTAAAGTGAGTAGGCTGTTTCCTCAACATACACAGCTGGTTAACGTGAGAGCAACGACTGTACTCAGGTGTCCTCTATCACAATAGACCTGGCATTCTGCTCCATGGGGGCTTCGGATAATGACGTGTGATGCGGCCCCTTCTAGTAATGGTTCCAATGTTCAGATTCCATGAGGAGATTTGTAATGAACCGCATCACATTCCGAGTTTGGGCAATTTTTGGAAAAATGAAATCAAGGACCACCCATGAGGATATGTTGGATGAACTTGCAGGGTTATATCTGATACGATTGCTCTCATGATCTTACTGACACAAAAGCAAGCAGCAGACAAACTCTTCCCTTTTTTCTCTCTAGAGGAAAACTATTCCTTCAAGATGTCGTTCCATGGCTGCCTGGTGGACAGCCCATGGATTTGACCAGTCGCAGTAACTTCGAACTTCATAACATAGTTTCCCATGAGCTTCCCCTTTTCTGCTTCTCTCTGCCGGCCCTCATGCCTGGAACTACATTCTCTAAAAGTGCAGAACTGTTAGCTCATTAACGTAGGCTCTGTTTTCTGGGTAACCCAGGCTAAAACGTGACTACAGAGTTCTAAAGACAAAATTATGCCAGTTTATTCATCTTTGGTAGCTTTTCTTCACCTGGGAATCCTCTGTGTTTTTTAGTTATTTCCTAAATGTGTGACTTTAGGAAAATTACTTAATCTCTCTGAGTTTCACATTCTTTAAGGTAATATAATTATGTCTACTCAATGAGGAGTTAGAAGGGTTAAAAGAAAAAAGACCAAGTATTTGAGGTAGTGAATGTTCAATAAATATTAGTTGTTACTATTATTTGTAGGCCTGTATTGACTTGAATTGGATCCACAGCTTTCCCACTGAGCTACATTCCCAGGCCCTTGTACTTATTTTTATTTTTGTTTTGAGACAGGGTCTCTATAAGTTGCTAAATTGTCAAGGTTGGGCTTGAACTTGCTGTCCTCCTGCCACAGCTTCGCAGAGTGCTGGGATTACAGTCGTGTACCACTACGCCCTGTTACTATTATTACACTCACTCTTGTTTTCAACATGATGGAGTTCTGGAGATGGAAAAAGGTAAACATGCTGCTTTATAGACTCTTTAAGGAGGTCAAAAGATATATGTGCCCACATGTGATAGTGTTACACAATAAATCCTCCAGGTTCCAAGCCAGTGTAAAAGAAAATTGGGTTCAGAGATGGAACTACAACTTCTCTGAGTTTGACTTTCATGACCACGGTGAAAATAATCATTTTGAACTGAGAGAGGAGAGAGGAACGTGGGAGAAGTCCAAGAGAAGTTTACCCTGAATTAGGGCCTCTGTGTTGTAACTTTTGCTGTCTCACTTCCTTCCCCAAGAGCTGGCATAGCCCGCGAAGGTCGATAAGTCTTCCATCTGAACTCTGTCCATGGATTCTGGGCGAGGGGCTGGCGGAGTGAAGGAGATGGGGCGAGTGCGTTGGGTGTTTCTGACCACAGATGGCCTGTCTGTCATATCTTGCCGTCCTCTGATCCCAGAGTTTCTGGGTGGTTGCTTTTGACTTTGACTTGCTCATGAAGAGATTTATGTGAATTTAATTTTCTTCTACCTCTGGCTACCAAAGGTTTTGGTATTTGTAATACTGTAGGGGATTAGATCAACTATAATAACTTTTTGCTACTTTTGGGCCTAGGTTTTCACAGTAGCAGGAAGTCAGGGTAATCTGTAGGTTACTAAATCTTGGGTTTTGTTTAACATGTACTTTTTATGTCCAGTGTGAACGAATATACACCTAACATTTCAGAACTTCATACAGAAAGTAAGCCAGAATAAAAAATTACACCGTCTATGAACCAAATCTAGAAACTACAAAATAGATCTTCTCAGAAAACATAATCACAACTCTTTCTCTGAGTCTGCAAATCTCATTAACTGAAATTTGGGGCTTAATTTTCCTTGTTAATGTAGCCAATGCAAAATGTCCCTCACAAAACACACAAATGTGCAAAGCATCTGTGGCGTCCTTAATAACTTTTATCTGATGTTCTGCCCCTGAAAATTCCTTAACCTGCTAGATAATAGAAAATTAAAATCCAATTTTTAGCTTAGGTATAGAACCCTAGGCTGGGCCAATCACTTAAAGTCTCCCTAGGCAATTCAATCTGTGGTCAGCTAACTCAGGTCAAAGCTAAATGCTTCAGTACTGTTCTAGGTCCTCTTAAAGATAGTGTCTAGGCGTGGAGAATAGATGGGTATGGTTGGAGTATCAGGATGGGGATAGTCAATTCTATACAGGGACTTTCATGGCCTGAGATGTAAGGTGGCCAAAATGGTGGCAGACTTACTTGGCAGGAGCCGAGTGCAGTGCTAATATAAAGGCCTGACCAATCTAGTAGATCACAACACCACACTGCTAGGCAGCTCTTACTCCTTGGTACCCTTCAGGTTAGCTAAGGCTTTGTTGGGTTGCATCACAATTCAGATTCTTCCTCTACCCAATCCTGCCTCCACCCCACTTGTTTGATAGGTGTTGCTTCCTAATAAACCGTCTGTATTCCAAACTCTCAGTATCTACTTTCAGAGAATTCAACTTGCAACACCCATCTGTTTACTTGCCTTCTGCCACTGCCTTTATGCCCTTCCTTTAAATTCTGGAGACCCAACTTTGGGGGCCATTTTCAAAAACCCCAGTCTTCTCGTGTACAAAGGAAGTACGATCCTAGCCCCAGTGCCATTGGCCTTGCATTCCTGTCTGGATACGTCTAAACACAGCCTTTAACTTCTGCCCAAAGCCTGGTGTGGGAGAGGATCTGGATGCGGGTCCTGGGTTCTCTCTCTCTTTTTTTTTGTCTCTTTGGTAGGGTCTCCTGTGCAGTTCAGGCTGGGCTTGAGCTCACTCTATAGCTCAGGCTGGCCTCGAACTCGTAACAATCCTCCTGCCTCAGCCGCCCAAGTGCTAGGATTACAGGTGTGCACCACCACTCCTGGCGCTGGGTTCTCTTCTAATACTCTCCTCCTCTCTTTTATCTTTCACGAAATTCTTCAGATCCAGAAGACTGGACTTTTGGCTTCTTTTTTCATCTCCATCCTGAACATAGGGTAAAATCATATGCTCTGAATTAACTAAGTCTATCTCTAAATATGACAAAGATAGCTGTTAAATACTGGAAATATTTTTCTCAAAGTGCAGGAATTACACATCTATTATCTTATCATTATCTTGTTACTATTATCTGTTTAAAAGGCCTATTTTAATTTTTAAATTTTTTGTACATGTTTGCAGTTCATGTAGCTTATAATCTCCTTGGGGAATAGTTACCTATACATATTACAGCATGTTTCTTTCATTTTTAAAAATCCTCTTCCTCCTCCTTCTCTAGTTCCTTTATCCCATTTTTCATTCCTGTTGATTTTTTTTTTTTTTTTTGGTACCGGGAATCAAACTTAGGACTTTGCACTGACCAGGCAGGTGCTTGTGGTGCTGAGCTGTATCCCCAGCTCCATTCCTGTTGATATTGTTTGGTTTAGCTCATGTTATGGCCTATATTGTTTACACTGATTAGGGTTATTAGGTTCCTGTATGTGGCATATCTTTATTTTACGTATTTCCCCTTCCCCTCCTCCTCACCCCTTGCCCCTCTTCCCTTGGACCCTTCCCTATTGCAAGAGATCCATTCTCTTATTCCCTTCTGTCCATCCTTCACTATTTTCTTTGTTTGTACTTTGCCTCCCTCAAGTTCACGGTATTCAAACTTGTGTGTCTGGTTTATTTCACTCAGCATTATATTTTCCAGGTGCATCTGTTTTCCTACAGATGTGTCAAATTTGTCGTTCTTTATAGCCAAGTAGGATTCCATTTCATAGAGATGCCACATTTTCTTTATCCAATCATCTGTTAATGGTTCTACAGGCTGCTTCTGGGATTTAGCTATTATAAATTGTGCTCCTATAAAAATTGGTGTGCAAGTATCACTGTAGTATGATGACTTAAGCTCTTTGGGGAAGATTCCTAGAAGGCAGATAGCTGTGTTGCATGCAATTTCTAATTTCAGTTCTTTGAGAAATCTCCATACTGATTTTCATAGTGGTTGTACCAGTTTGCATTCCCACCAACAATGTAGGAGGGTTCCTTCTTCACCACAGCCATGTAGCATTTGTTATTATTTTATTTCCTAATGACTGCCATTCTTTCTGCAGTGAGATGGAATCTTCGCATTACTTTAATTTCCATTTTTCCAATGGCCAGGGATGTTGAACACATTTTCATACATTTGTTGACCATTTGTCTTTCTTCGTGAAACATCTGTTTATTTCTCTTGTCGAAAGGTCTAATTTGAATATCAGAAACTACATTATTCATTCACTCTTTCATCATTTCTGTATGACAATCTTAACTTCCCCCTCTTTTTTCTAAATCTCATGGTCATACACACTCAAGACAACTTTATATTCTAATTTTAACCAGGTTTAACAGGGCACGGTGGCATATGCCTGTAATCCCAGCACTCGGGAGGCTGAGGCAGGAGGATCATTGTGAGTTCCAGACCAGTCTGGGCTATAAAGTGAGCTCAAGGCCAGCCTGAACTGCATAACAAGACCCTGTTTCAAAAAGAGCAAATAATAATAATAATAATAATAATAATAATAATAATT